AGACAACCACTACTTACCAGTACTCCTGATACTACACAGCTAAACGTCTAATAAGATATATTTATTTTAATTTGCTATTTTCTTTCAAGATGCCTTAGAGTATGCTACAGTGGAGATATTGTCAAGTTCCCCATTAGCCAACAGAAGTCGTCAGTTTAGTTTGGAAGACTCCAGGTAATATTTAACATGCCTCTTGATTCTCATACAACAGGAGTATGATCATAAATTTTTTTCAAACATATTTTGATATTATAGACTGCTTGTATTTAGAGGGGCGAGGTAAACTTCTTTTTGGTAATTACCACAACTAATACAGTGACACTGTATTAGTCCGGCGTCATGTCGAAATAGCAAATACACAGGTTGCATGTACTATGTATTTTGCTGAACGAAAACCAGCAGAATGGACAGCATCGGATATGACATTTTATTAAAAACTAGATCATTGGATAATGCAATTAAAGACTTTTTATTGGCTTAGCCATTATGGTATATCAGCCAATATACCATAATCTACAAATATGGCAAGCGTACGTGTCAGCTTAAAATTAAGAGGGAGCTAAAAATTTAATACAATTTAATACAATTTAATAATTTAATTTAACGTTTTTAATAAAACAATTATTCCACTCGCGCTTGTTGGCTATAAGATGATTATAGCCAACTCGGCGCTACGCGCCTCGTTGGCTATATATCATCTCATAACCAACGCGCGCTCGTGAAATAATCGTTAAATATCCTAATGGTCTCCTAAGAGCAAGGAATACATGGAGAAGATGTTGAAGCAACGTTTGTTAAAATGTTGTCACAGATGGGAGACAGTTGACTTTGATCTCGAATCTCAGCCATTTCCAATTTCTTGGTGATATTTTGCCAGCTCTGTTCTAAAGAACTCGTTAAGTTCATGTGTGATAAGCGTCCAACCTATTGCGAGGACTGCGGTGTTAAAAGCGGTCCTATTTGGAGAACAAGCGAGAGGACCACATTTGAAAAGATTTAAAAGTGTACCCCAGAAACCATTCGATTTCTGTTCCCGCCATTAAAAAGTGTACATTAAGGATAACTATTTTCCGCTCTATGAGATTTCAAACATTTGCATCACCTTTCGAAAATTATCTTCAAATGCACTCGGATAGACCAATCAGAACACTGGATTCGCTTCATCTTGTCCACGAGCGCTGCCAGCTATTTGATGAAATAGATCATCGTCACATATTTTAGCAAATTTCATCATGTTACAAAGGTCTTTCGAAGCTTAAAACTAGTGCATTATCGGTATTTTATGTTCACTATTCAGTGGTGGAGATTAAACATAGGTTTCTGGAGTTTATTGAACTCCTCCGACTCGACTGAACATTTGCCTCAAACACTGGACGAACGTTTATCCAAATTTTTTCAGCAGCCAGGTGTGCAGAACTAGGTAGAAAAAAAGTCCTTTAGGTAAAGTGATGTGTAGGTTATCTGTTTTCCTTTCAGTGAAACTGTTCCTCAATATGCTTCCGTTATTCCAAAGCATCTAAGGTAAGGTATATTTGGTGACTAGAGAAGTGTTACGTGAGGCTCTTACAAAACCACTTCGTTAGAGACATCTTAGTTACACTATAGCGGGGAGATGCGGTAAAACAATTACATTAACTTTCTCAATTGCAAGTACAAAGTAGACGAGGAGCGATCAGCTTTTTATTCATCCACGAATAATATGGTTTTACTTGATTTGAAACATATCACGAAAATCAAATCGTTAGTTTAATCACGATGTCACGACTGTTTGTTATGATGATAATCTTTAAGGTAAAGAGGCCCGGGTTATCTCTATTGGTGCCAGGCAGGTTGCTTACAGCTAAAACTATCTTTCCACATCAAAAGTACTCAAGTACCTCCCCGCAGTTCCAAGGAGAGTTGTTTTTTGTTTTGTTTTGTTTATTTATTTTTTAACAAGATCTACTGAAGTGTCCGCAACAATACTCCTAAGATTGTGTGCCAGTCCCCTTGGGACTGATGCTAATGCCCCCGGCAGTACCTCTTGTTGGGTCCTAATGTTCTTCACACTTATTCTCTCTTCTGCTGAGTAGTTTGGGACTGCGATGTTAATTACATGACACGTTTGCCCTTGTTGGGTCATAACCGCCAAACTTGGTGCCCTCGATCTGGTTGCATAGTCAGTTCGGATCCTATAACCCCCGGTACATGTTCACAATATGGCCTCTTCATTTATTTGCCTGGTAGCATGTTCTGCACGCGGTATTCTCTTTGGTCTTGTTGCCACTAATGCTTTGACGTGGTTTGTTCATATTGCCTGGTCGCGAGCAGCAGAGCAGTGATAAGGGACTCCATCCTCTCCATTTACTGCCTTCCCTACATCAAGTCCCCTTATTTTTTCCATTTCCGTTTGCCTCAAATTGACCATCTAGGGTTGTTACTATTCGAAAATTGGAAAATACAGCTATTTCTAAATACACAGTAAAAATTAATTTTTGAATCGAAAATACTGATTTGAATGGTTGTGGCTGACTACTTCATTAAACAGCCAGAATAGATCATCATTTTTTATTGAATAGGATCAAATGTTGTAGTTTTTCTTTTCTTTTCTATTTTATCTATTATGTTGTTGTTTTTCTTTTTCTTTTATGTCTTTAGACTAAACAGATCGCACAGTATGAACGAAGACGGGTCAGAAATAAGAAGACCGGTAATAAATATTCAACTTCTTATGAACTCTCACCGCTAAGTGTGTTACTTTCTGTTTTCGATTGTGATCCTGACGTCTTGTCACTCCACTCACTGCATTCTTCAACAATATAAAAAAAAAAGGGTGGTACTATTACATTTTATAGCAGAAGCGGAATGGCTGCCCAGACCTCCCGCCAACTCCCCCACTGGTTTCTCTTCATAACTCCCACTCTCGTAGTGTAGACCACGATGACATGAGTTATGCGAGAGTGCACGAGTTCAGACAACCACTACTTACCAGTACTCCTAGGGTGCGTCTGTTGCAACCCCCGGACGAGGGACTCGTCAGATTTGGCTCCCACAAGTACGAGAATGTTCTCAGAGCTGATGTTCATGCTGGAATAGTAAGTTGTGAGTGTAACGTGTGGTATACGTCCTTGAAACTAGTTGTCTAAGTAACTGTGAGCCATGGCTTGACCTATTCCTCGATCAATGAACCGATTGAACCAGTTTAAAAGCGGGTAGAACTTACATTTTTGGATGATACGTTGAAGAGCAAACAAACCCTTTGGAATCTTGCAAATCTTTCGAAGTCTGAAAGTATTTGGGTTTTAGCCATCATGACGAGTTTTGGTGATTTTGACTTTCTTGTCTAACTATCAGTGGACACGTTTGATTTGTCTCCTTGACTGATGTACTTGTATTAGCTTTCGTCTTCAAAGATTATTCGGTCGACCAGAAGCATTCAATACGTTGTCGTTCATTCCTCGTGAAAGTTTGGGTTAGTGTTCTGATGGCAAAAGTTAAATCTTCCATGGTCACTTGGCCCGCATGCCCACTCATGCCAACCGATAATGTATACACAAGTATATATTTTAGAGTTCATGGTTAGTCCATCAGAATCAGAGTAAGAGTCAGTCAGCGAGAGTGGTTAAGGAGAGATGAAGTGCGAGAATTGAAGTCGCGGCTATGAATTAGAACTGCAGTAGATAACAGAGAATAAAGAGGGCTGAAAAGGACAGGTCTTTAGTCTTTGATGCCTTCCGTCAAGCGTATTACGCTCTGCAGCTCATTCCCCCTATTCACGGCGCAACTTTTCCTTCTCAGTGACCAACTTGCTCCCTTTTTTTAGTACCCTCCTACAGAAAATTGTCGACTTTGGGAGTTTTTCTCAGTTCTCAAAGCGGATATGGAAACAAATATACGATAGTGTGACAAACATGAAAGCATAGAAAAGGTTAAACACGAGCAATCTCTATTTCAGACGAAAATTTGTTAATCTTACTTTGATCTCTTTATAGCCCGGTAAGCATTATGTGGCCATCACAAACTACTCGCCTCCATCGGATCGCACTGAAGATCTTCACCTAACAGCAAATGAAGAAGTACGCCTTCTTTGTGAGGATGGTGCTTGGTCATTTGTTTGTACTGTAGATGCGACCAAAAGAAGTGGATGGGTACCGTCTTCATTGTTGAAGAGCATGGGAGGATCCCAGTGCAACATGACGAGGAGGTCCTTGTCTGTTGGGGATATTTACAACGCTTATGAAGAAGAAGAAGCTGCAGCTCGTGGAGCACCACTGTCTCAGATGGCGCAAAAGCGTCCTGTACCAACACCTAGGGGCGATCTTGAGCAGAAAAAGAATTCAGTGGATATAACTGGTGCCCCAAGCGAAGAAGCGCCTCCACTGCCTGGTGCCCCACCAGATTACATCCGGAAGTCTGGTAAGAAAACCATGAAACGGACGCCCTGTTTTTTTTTTTTCTTCTTTTCTTTACCACAGATATCATGCGTAGTACAATGTTCAATAAACAGAGGCTCGCTTTGTCTCGCTTTCGGCACACTTCGTAATATGCGATGTTTGAGCGACAACCTGTTTGATCATATTTTGTCGTAAAAGCAATTCTTTACCGAGTTTAGAGAAAAATATATGAGCTTTGTATACTGAACACTGCCTTGTAGCATGAACACTAAGATATACCATGGATCCTGCAAGACGTTTGGATCTAAGACCGGCTCGTGTACTCTCCGAATATTACGAGCCGCTGTTATGATATTTTGGTAAATTTTGAAATCTCAAAATTCTCCCCAGAATCTGTGCTGTTTCTTATCCTATGTGACCTTTAGATTACCAAGTCCTTCTGAGAAAAGACTGCTTTCTTCCAGGAAAGGTGAATGAGCACTACTTCGCGCGGGAGGACTTTACAACAAAAAATTCAAATTGCATCTCTGTGCGTAAAGGAGAAGTAGGCCAGTTATTAGCTGTACAGTCCTTGGGTTGGTGGAAAATGAATGTAGAGGGTGTGGTCGGATGGACTCCAGGTGATTTCTGGGAGCTGCTACAGGATGAGGTACTATAATGCGGTCACCAGAAGTTCATTCTGAAAATAAAACGCTGTCTCCTTGAATCAAAAAAGTCAATTTTAAGTAAAAGGCAGCCGTTACATTTAAAGGGCCACGCTCAACCAGTGTGCTTTGCGCGCCATTGTTATTTTTGTTATCCGGGAACTCGTTACTTTTTCTCACACACCGAACGGAAACTGCAAAGAATACCACAACGGCCGTAGCTTTTTCCAATATTTTCATTTAAAAAATATAAATACCGTATTATCACTCCGAGCAAAACTGAATCGCCACTTTGGAAGAGGTATACAACGTTTTCTGTCTGTGGAACAGAACCAAAGACAAAATAGAGGAATTTGTAAGTCGGGCAAACAGCTATATTCTGTCAAGAGATTATGTTATACAATGAACATATGAAGTTCATATATTTTGAACTACGGTATTAAATACATATGACGCACGATCCTTCGCAGTAGATAGCGCTATTTATGCAATAGCGAAAATCAGACCTGAAAAAAATCAGGCCTGTACGGGATTCGAACCACTGACCTCTGCGATACTAGTGCAGCGCTGCACTAGTATCGCAGAGGTCAGTGGTTCGAATCCCGTACAGGCCTGATTTTTTTCAGGTCTGATTTTCGCTATTGCATAAATAGCGCTATCTACTGCGAAGGATCGTGCATCATAGAGATTATGTTATCTTGATTCTGCCGGTACATGTACCGCGCGATACAACCACTATTCACGGTTGAAATAACAGACTCAGAAATTTTGTTCTTAAACATAAAAGTGTACGAAAGGGAGAGGTTTAACACTGAGGGAATCGACCCTTCACGTCCAAATCCATTATTCAAATTTTTATTCGTGTCATTCATCAGGCGCGAAGAAAGGATTCGTAAAAAGGAGAAGCGCAACTTCTTCTATGAATACATTCGTCACGCTCCACGTTAAATAAAAACTCGCAATATTTCAAAATATGCCTAAAGAATATGGGAGTTCAAAACGAAATTTACGAGAAATGTATCTCGGAATTTGTCTCACCGCGAGTGAAAGGTTACTCAAAAACGTTACATGGGATTAGGCTTGAGATCGATTGTAAACGTTCCTCCGTCCGTCGGTCATCCAAGAGGCTAAGAAGAGATTCCTATTTGACTTCCCATCGAAATGCTATGTGGCAGCGCTTCTGACAACTCTATTTTCGTTTTCTTACCAAATCCCAAAGCTGTATTACGCTAATTCCAGGCTTTTAACTTGATCTAGTCAGCCATGTAATATGGCGAAATAATTTGGATATATCAACAAAGTTGAAATGGTAAATTGGCCACAGTAACGATTACAAAAGCTGACGTTTCGAGCGTTAGCCCTTCGTCGGAGCGAAGGTAATATGGCGGCTTTTCGTCGTGCAGGACGATCTTTTTTCGATGGCTTTATTACAGCGAACGCGGAATGAAACGTCAAAAACATGTAGTAAATAGACGATAGACACACGAAGAAACCAGATGTGGGCGTAAAAAGCCCCTTCTCAATTAAGATTGCAAAGGTTTAGTCGATGAATAATGTTACAAACACGGTAGGTTTTCCCTTTCTGTACTACTGACAAATCTGAGAAAGGCACCACTCCCGCAATGCATTCTGGTTGAGCTTTGCAGTTTGAAGACTAGGATTAGTGTCGGTAGTAGATGTCGAAATTGTTCATCTGTAACTTGCAGGAAGAAACCTTAAACGAAATGTCTTCAAAGAGCAAGCAGCGAGAAAGGCACAGTTCTTTCGGTTAGTCATATTTAAGATGTTTTTCGTTGTTGTAATATTTGTCATGATACTCCAAGAACAATTGCTTAAACGTTTCCTTTTTTGTGGATGGAGTAAAACAAATAGTTCCACTAATGTGTGTTGTGTTGGATGTTTGTTTCGTTTGTGTCGTTTGTGCTGTTACAGGAGATGAGTTGTGGTATTACGGGAAGATGTCACGACAGAAGTGCGAGGAGCTTATGATAAGGGTAAGATGTAAATATTTGGCTTTTTTAATCTTAACTCATACAGATGCAAGAAAACCGATCCAAGTCGACGAGACAGCAACACTAATGCGTGTTTGTTTGTTCAAACAAGAATACGATCATTTTGAGAATCGACGAAAATATGTCTGCCTCTTGTCTGAACTCACTGCTTGCAGAATAGACGTAGTTCTTCGCGGTTTTTATTCAATTGTTTTTAATCCAATAGATACTTGTAATAGGACTGACTGGAGTCCAATTCGGTCGTAATCCTACGAATGACTGACACATACGGACGACCGCGATGCATGAGTATGATTACGGACAAAACTGGACGACACGAAGTTCTGTTACCAATTCATGAAAACTTTGACAAAATTTGAGAAAGCAACCAGACAGTGCTTGTACGTTTTCACAAAAAAAAAAAAATAACGAAAAAAAGTTATCTCGGCGAAATGTGCGACAACAGGGCGTGCATAGGACGCATACTGTCCAGTTACACAGGCATGACGTGTCAACTGTCCTTTTACTCTGTCAAATCGGGCTGGTGATAACCAACACGCTCGAGAATTTCGTCATAGTTTAGATTATGTAGTTTTTATGTGGAATTCATTGTTGTTGTTATGGTTAAATGAAGCTTTAAGACATGACTGAATGACTAAAATGATGAAATTTTGTGTTGTTATCGGGTTTCTGTCCAACAGAATGCCAAAGAACTAGACTACTTGATTCGGGAGAGCACTCAGAAGGTAAAACAGACAATAAAAATGCACTTATTTCCTTTTTAGCGAGCGTAAATTCTTGCCTTCATTGACTTTGTTTTTTATTTGTAGTTTGCTTCATTCGTACTATCGGTCAAGTATGGCGGAAAGTAAGTACCAACCCGTTGTCTCGTTGGGTTCTGCAATTTCATAATTTTGTAATTTTCTAGCGTCGTCCAATTTATTGCCAGACATGTCGGTAAAAAAAGAGCACTAGAGAAAAGCGACACAGTCTGTTAGAGTGGAAAGTGTATAAGTGCAGAAGTCTTTCAAGAAGAAGGATCATAACCGAGAATTTTGCCGTTGAGCCTAAAAAAATGATCTAAACGAATGTTTTCCAAACTGAAGTTTGGTAATTGCAGTCGAATTGTATTTGTTATTATTATTGCTTTTGTTGTCATTATTATTGTTGTCGTTATTATTATTGTTGTTGTTATCATTATTGTTGTAATAATTGCCATAAAATCCTCTACAATACAAAATATTAACAGCGTAAAAAACGATCCAAAGTAACTCACTTTCGGCTGACATCTACTCCTTTTTTTATGTCAAAGCGTCTGGAAAACTATAAATAACGGAGTCAAATCTGAACAGATTCGAAGTCTAATAATCTGATAAGTAAAAGCATATCTAAAACTACACAGAAAAGAGAAAGGTGAATGGCAAATCTAGAACCCTATATACAAGGCTGCTAAAAATCATTAAACAATGTCAATGGCTCCCTCGGCAGCTGCGATTTCAACGTCACAATTATTATAGTCATACGCAGCGCGGCGCTTCACCCGCGATCCTCGAAAGCAAACTAAGGCCGACCGAAGGAGGGTAAAGGATGTCTTTACTCGGATCCAGGAAATTGTATGCGAGTATCGTTCCCCTTTCTTGGCGGCTATCAGCTCGGCCAATCGGCTGTGGTATCTTATGCATTCCACCCCATCCCTCCCCATCCCTCCCGTAGTTGTAAATACAAGCGGCGGGAACGAGCCATGCTCAACATCCAACACTCTCCTTGAGTACAGCCGCTTCTTGTCGTTTTCATGGATGCGATAAATCTGCTGTGGTTCCTGGTCCTTGTAAGACTCGGCATTAGGGTGGCAAACCGTCACATCGAAGAATGCCGAGCTCTCGGGATTCCAGAAGCCACGCGCCCGAACATCCAATCTTGCGTCTTGTGCACTATTATACCCTCTGCTGAGTTGTACTTCAGTGATGTCTTGGAGAACTATACTCAAAAGGTCGGCCTCGAGGTCTCTCAACTCATTATGCCATTGGATAACAAAGCCCCCTCGTTTGCAAATCATTGCGTGGTTTACTGTGAAGTTTTCCCACACGCAGACACTGATGGAATATCATCAAACGGCCAATCATAGCGTAATTTAACAGCATCGCGAAACTCTCTCGCTGAGGTTGAAACTATGTTCTTGAAGGGGGAGAACTGTGAGCCATACAGAGGAGCCTTTTTCTTGCGCTAGTTCTAGAGCTGGCTTGGTCTTCCGTGAAACAATTTGTTCTAGATTATCTGCAATCTCTGAAAGTTCTGTAGCTTTTCCATGTTTGACAGCTTGACGCGATGAGGGACTCGTCGGGTAGTTGATAAGTTTGAGCCATGATATGTTCGACAAGAGAAGATGTCACCTGAATAGATGAGGCATGTTCGCTTGCCGCCTCGTGACATGGGTTGCTCAAGCTCAGGCCGCCTAGGTGCACGGGTAGTGCTAGAACGTCTCCATCCAGTTTGCTACACTTGCGCCCTACGATTGCTGGTATAAGGACCTGGGAAATAGCCTCTTCAAGTGGCTCTAGAAGATCTTGGACATCAGGGAGAGTTCTTAGGGAAGTACGTCCA